GCGGCAGTGCGGTGAGGCCGGGTGAGTCTGGGCTTGGGCTTGGCCTTGGTCCGGGCGGGGAAGCCCCAGATGCCCTTGGATGTTGAGACCCGCCCATTTGCAGCTCCCCACTTCCTGGCTACTGATGAGAGTCTTTAACCTACTACCCTCCAGGACCTTAATGGGCAGAGAGGGGAACGCACCCTCTGGTGCTTGGGAACTTGGAGGTTCCTTTCCCAGCAGGGCCACTGCAGTCCCTAAGGGCCGTGCTCGGAGATTCCTACCCAGGGGAGGAGGGATGGCTCCCTCTGATGCCCCTGCACTGGCCCTCCAGCCTCCACACGCTGGGGGGGGGGGGGGGTGGTGGGTGGTATGAGGTGAGCCGCTGGCATTTTGCCTGGACACAAGTTCAGGGCCTGGTTGGGGACTCCGGCTCCCTCGGGTACCTGGCCGGCCTCAACAGTGGCCTTGGTGCACACGCTGGGGGGGGGGGGGGGGCAGTCAAAGCTGCTCCTCAGGGCCAGGCTTCGAGGAGGCCGAGGCCATCCCCTGCACTGCGGGGAGCTGCGGGCTCCGGGGTGAGGGTCCAGCCTCCTCTCTGGCCTCCTGGGTGGCCCATCCCTGTTCAGGCCCCTCTGTCACTGCAGCGAGCCTCTCTCTCCTCTCACCCGCTCGCTCAGGCACCCTGAGCAGTTCGCTAGTGACCCAGTGCCAGCCTGGAGTTTCCTGCGGTGCCCCGGCTTCCATTTTTCTCACATTCTGATGGGGTCTGTGGACGGGCTATTCAGTCGGGGTCTGTGGACGGGGTTATTTCAGTCTCACCCCTTCTCTCCCCCCCCCCATGACTCACATTTTCCTCTTGGGCTCTTGGGGCCAGGAATGGAAGCTGCCTGGTCAACCCCCCTCACCCCTCTCCCCCTCTGGGGGCTATTCTTAGAACCCCCCCAGGGAGATAGTGTGCACCCCCCCCCCACTCCTGGGGAAGGGAGAGGCGGGGCTTGTGAGCTTGCTGGGAGGGGAGCTGGGAATCCTGGAAGCCAGTGGAGGACTGTGAGCCGGGCCCACCCTCAGTTTTACCTAAGGAAAATGCAGCCGAGGTCCCGCAGAGTAAGTGACCTGGCAGCTTTTGCAGGACTAGCTCTTGTTCTGGGCAGAGCCCAGAGCTCCTTACTGGGTTGGTGATCTTTCCCTCCCTCTCTCCAAACCAGAGCCCTACCCCAGCCAGGTCGGGTGGAGCCTGGATTCCAGTGCCCAGTTAACCCTTGACATTCCAAAATCCACCAAGACTCACTCCCCTTGGACTTACTCTCCAGTTAGTGCTGCTAAAGATGCCTGAGGAAAGACCCTCCCTAGCCCGGGGGGTCCTAGGGTGTGGTCTCAGACTGGGCCAAGTTTGGGGAGAGACTGGGTGTTGGGCACCCCATTCCTGCTAGGAAGGGTTCTTCCTGTCAGTAGAATTGGTGACTCCCAAGCCTGGGCTGTGAGGCTGAGCGTCAAGAGCGTGGGTGCGAGGTAGGAGGAGGAATTCTGGAAACCTGGGATGCTCTGTAGGGTGGGCGTAGGGCACAGACTGGAGTCTGACCTCCCTGGTCCAGCACCCATCAGTACCAGCTGTGTGACCTTGGGCAAATCACTTAACGTCTCTGTGCCTGAGGCCCTTGCCTTTAAGATAAGATATTGTTACATATTTCACTGACTTGTAAGAAATACACTGCTTACTATACAGACGGCACTTGTAGAATCCAGATAACTTGCAGGCAGCCAACACGAGTAGCCAAAGTCATAATCCTAATGACAGTTCTACATTAAGTAGCGTGGTAGCAGGGAGACACTGCTCGCTCCAGGTTTTAGAGGAGCAGCAGGCCCAGATGGGTGAGGTGAGCCGTTCCGGGGCACGCGCCAGAGAACGTAGAGCTCGCGTCTCCGGGTATTGTCCTGGGAGGAGAACCACGTGTGGAGTGAGCCGCACTGGTCCAGTTTGGGGTGGCTGCAGGACAGGAAATCATGGTGTGCTGGCCGGTGCCCCCTGACCCACCTGGCCGCGCTTAGTGCTTCTGGGAGTGGAAGAGATCGCCTTTCTAGCATGGAGGGGTCCAGGCAGGGCTTGGAGACTTGTGAGGGGCGATTACCGCAGGGGTGGGGACAGGCAGGGCACAGGATCTTGGCAGATACAGAGAGCCTGGCCTGCGTCTCTGCGCGGGAACGCGGTCACCATCTGCCTCTGCCACCCCTGCAGCTCGGTGCCAACATGCTGCTGTTCCTCTGCACCAACGTCATTGGCATCTGCACACATTACCCGGCCGAGGTGTCCCAACGGCAGGCCTTCCAGGAGACCCGAGGCTACATCCAGGCCAGGCTGCACCTGCAGCGTGAGAACCGGCAGCAGGTGGGGCTGCCCCCCTGAGCAGGGCCTTCCCCCATGGCATGCCCAGGTAGCTGGCAGGCTGGTTCTGCTGCCCGGCACCACTTCTGCATTCAGTGTGAATGGGCCCCCCAATTGCGCATGTACCACAGAGACCCAACACTGGGGTTCCTGTCCTGTTGGGGGAGAGCAGGTGGGAGCCCAACCCAGGGGGCTGAGGGAGGGGCTTAGAGAGGGCCGGGGTGTGAAGGCACTAAAGGGGGAGGTCAACCACAGTCTAGGGTGTGCTCAGAGAGGCCTCGGAGGGCTCTGGGGGTGTGGAGGACCGGGAAGGACTAAACGTGAGGCTGAGAGGACCGCGTGCTCTGTTGAAACCACTGGTCCAGGAGCGGCTGTTGCTGTCGGTGTTGCCCCAGCACGTTGCCATGGAGATGAAAGAAGACATCAACACAAAAAAAGAAGACATGATGTTCCACAAGATCTACATCCAGAAGCATGACAATGTCAGGTGGGGCCGGGTGCGGGGGGGCCAGAGGTGGAAGCTCTGGGCGTGTTGGAGGGCTCCTGGCCATCCGTCTCCCGCCGCTGTCCACAGCATCCTGTTTGCGGACATCGAGGGCTTCACCAGCCTGGCGTCCCAGTGCACGGCGCAGGAGCTGGTCATGACCCTGAACGAGCTCTTTGCCCGGTTTGATAAGCTGGCTGCGGTGAGGGGCTGGGCTTGTGGCAACGGGGTGGGGGGCGGTGGCCGGGGGGCGGGGGGGGGCGCAGAGGTGACTCCCTGCAACCCCGCCCTTTAGGAAAACCACTGCCTGAGGATCAAGATCTTAGGGGACTGTTACTACTGCGTGTCCGGGCTGCCCGAGGCCCGCGCGGACCACGCGCACTGCTGTGTGGAGATGGGGGTGGACATGATCGAGGCCATCTCGTAAGCAGCGCGGGAGGGGCTTTGAGGAGAGACCCCGGGCTGCTCCTCCCAGCTCGGTTCTCCAGGACGCCGGCCGGGCCCTAGGGGCCGCCGGCGGCTTCTGCCCAGCCTCCCGGCCTCTCCGGCCAGGCTGTGGTCTCGGCGGGCCGTGGGCCTGGCCGTGCCCCTGACTGCGGGCGGTCTCCCCCAGGCTGGTGCGCGAGGTGACAGGCGTGAACGTGAACATGCGCGTGGGCATCCACAGCGGGCGCGTGCACTGTGGCGTGCTCGGCCTGCGCAAGTGGCAGTTCGACGTGTGGTCCAACGACGTGACCCTGGCCAACCACATGGAGGCGGGGGGCCGGGCCGGGTGAG